ATTGGCCCTTTACCCAACTCACCACATGGCATCTGAGAGCTCAACCAAACCTGGATTCAAAATGCAGCCTATAGAGTTGCCAGTGCATGGGCCCAAGGGAGTCTGACAATCAATCAGAATACAAGCTCAAGATCCAAGGTCAGAGAGGGCATAAAACCAGGAATTCAGCATCTCAGTCCTCCCTTCTCTTTTCTCCACCAACATTGAAGCATGCGATCATCTTTTCTGTTCAGGGCTCAAGCCATGTGGTCTTGTCCAACAATAAACCATCTTTCCAAGCAGCCTCCATGTCTCCAGTGTCTTTTTCCCCACCTGGAGCCGAACCCAGAAGGACATTTCTTCCAACACAAGTTTTAAGATAACTGTCACTTTTTATTTTACTGCGAGCATGCCTGCCCACATTAAAAATGAAATTCTGTTGTCTGCTCGCAAGAGCAAGTGTAATATATAAAGGTAAAGGTTCCCCTCGTACAAAAGCGCTAGTCATTCCTGACTCTAGGGGGCGGTGTTCATCTCCATTTCAAAGCCGAAGAGCCAGCGCTGTTTGAAGCCGTCACTGTAGTCATGTATCTGGCAGGACTAAACACCAAAGGCGCATGGAACACTGTTACCTTCCACCAAAGGTGGCCCCTATATTTCTACTTGCATTTTTACATGCTTTCGAACTGCTAGGTTGGCAGAAGACATAATTAATATACCTGCAGTTTCCACCACTGACACACAGATACGTGTATACACACACACACAAATCACTGTCCATTTTGACAAAACTTTTTTTTAGGACTTTTTTTATGGGAGAGTTCAAACAGATCTCACCCTTGCCACCCTGACCTTCTGTAATTTTCTCTATACAAAAAAACAACAAACACATGTTGCACAACATCTCATTGTCCACAATTCCGATACCAGGAGTCTTAACATGCATGCGTATAAATATCAGACCACTAGGGGGCGATCAAGAAAGCGGTTCCTACTCGCTTTCCTTCCCGGCCAATCTTCCTGCAGCTGCTGTTATCTCTAGCGATTGAAACCTGCTCGTGCTCACCCCACCCCCTCTCTCTCGCCTTTCAACGGCTCAGAGGTTTTTTTTTTTTTTGACGTAGCCATTAAGCGTGCTCAGAAGCCGCACGTGGCGCGCCGTGCTCCTCTACGTCGCTCGAGCGGAAGCTACGTCACAGGGAACTTACGAACGCCGCGCGTAGAGCGACGCCACTTCTAAACCGACCGCGCTTAGAAAACCCCCGAGGGCCGTCGTCGCCATGGATTACGGGGAAGGTGAGGTTTTTTGGGGGGATTTGCCATCGCGGCCGTGGAGCGCCTTGGCCTCCAAATGGGGGCGAGAACAAACCGCAGCGCCGGCGGGAAACGAGCGTGCCGGCCTAGTGTGTGTGTGTGGTTGGGCAGTGAGAGGAGGGGGGGGGGGCTTTTCCTCTCAGCCGGAGGCGCGCCATGTTAATTCACGAAATTCCCGGCGTGGGTTTCGACACAAAAGGCCCAGGGTAGCCTGAGGAAGGCCGCGCTCCTCACAATCCCCGTCCCCCCACGACCCCCTTGGCCTAGTCTACCCTACCGTCTTTAATCCCAATCCCGGCGCGAATAATAGTCCCGCCTGAAGTCACTAGTCATATTGAAAGGACGTGGGGGGGACGACGACAAAGGGCGTGGCTTTCTGGAATGGCGTAGTAACTGATGGCGACGAAGACCCTCGTATAAACCTATTCCGAACCTATTCACCGGCCCAGGAACTGTTAGGTGTTTTTTTTTTAAAACTCGGGCCACATCTGGATGGCTGGAATTTTAACCGAGGCAAGAAAAAGGTTTTTTTTTCCCTACGGTAGATCTCCGGGCGGAGGCCCCGCTACGTCACCTGGAGTCCACGTGATCCTTGCAGTTTTAGGAAAGCAATATAGCAATAGCAGTAGACTTATATACCGCTTCATAGGGCTTTCAGCCCTCCCTAAGCGGTTTACA